GGAGCGGAGCGGCCGGGCCGCGCCGCGCCGAGGCCTAGCGCCCCCCCGCCCCGTTCACCCCCGCCGCCCTTCACCTCCCGGGCAAAGGCGCCGCACCCCGACCCTCCCGCTGGGCTCCGGCGGCCGTCTCACCCCCCTCCGGCACTCCTCCCGGCGCCCGAAAGGCTCAAAAAGCCCCCTGGCTCCCCGCACCCCCCGCCGCGGCCTACGCCGCCCCGGCCGATCCCCGGCCTCGCGTAGCCCACCTCCCCGCCCGCCCTGCACCCTCCGCACCGCCTGCCGCGCTACGCGAGCCCGGGGATGCAGGCCGGGCCTGGCTTACCTTTCCAGCTGCTTTTTTTTCCCTCCTCTCTCTCCTCTCCCCCCTTTCCCTCTGTTGGGCTGACAGATCAGAGTTTCCTCCCCAGCAGAGGGACTGGGAATGTGCTCGGGCTCTGTGCTGAGGAGCTGCTGCCCCCCTGTCTCTGAGAAGATCCTGCTTTTTGTGGGGAGAAAGCTTTGGGGGCTCTTTATTATTTTAAAACTACAAAGTGCTCAGAGGGTAGGTGATTATTAAGGGGAATCCCTGAATATATTCTCCAGCAAAGAAGGCAGGGCTGCTGGGGCTGCTCAAGAAGAGAGCCAGCAGCCTCCTACAGCACCACTACAGGCACCGAGAGGACATAACATCAGAGAGCGGCTCCTCTGCCCTCCAAAACAACAACTTTCCTACCATCTTGGAGGTAGTAGAAAGGGAGAGAGGGAGGGGGAAAAAAGTACAGAAGGTTTTTATAAAGTGTCAATTTGCAGGAGGGAGCCAAATGGCCAAAACAAAATATTTTATCATTTGTGTGACTTTTTATTTTAAATAAAAATAAAATACAAAGACTTGTGGCTGAAGAAATAATTTTCTTTATAACCTGTTAAGATCAACTCTCTGGGAAAAAAAAAAAAGGTATGGTAAAAATATATATTTTTAGTAACTTTGTGGTTCTTAAAAAAATGTTCTTTTTTTCTATATGTATAAAGTTGAGAACTTTTTTGTCATTGTGTGATAATGCTAAAAATTGATGTGTAATTTTGAAAGTTCATGTAACTTTTTTTTGGTACTCATGCTGTCAGTAGAACAGCTGAGATGGATGTAGGATAGTTCGGTGCAATTGTACCATTACGTCTTTCTCTCTTTCGAGCCGTTATAAATAAAGCTGAATGTACAGGTAGGAAAAAATGCTATTTTTTTATTTTTACTTTTTAAATTTTTCTAGAGTAGGATATGTAGAAAACTATGGAGGATTTAATGCAAGTGAGGGAAACCTGTGAGATATCTATATCTGAGAAATTGTGCTGTCATAAATGTAGCATTGTCTGCCCTTCAGGATGAGATGTGCAAAAACAGAACTCATAGCAAGAAATTTGGGAGCAGTAGTTGAGTTTTGGTTTTAATGTTTTCGAAGCACTTTGCAGCCTTCTAATAATTCGGTTTGGGTTTTTTTAAGTTACTGTTTTGTTCTGGGGGCCTTGTTCCTGACATTTATGAATCTTATTCCGGACTTATTTACAGAGTTGAGAAATGCTGTAAGTTTATATTACAGTGTCTTGTAATATAAGTTAATAGTGGTGTGGGGGGGTTGTTGCAGATGCTTTTATTAGATTGTAAAAGATATATTAAATGCTGTCAAAACAATGTGAGATGCTACGGTGTATCTAGAGGTGAAGATACTGATCTCTGTATTCAGCAGACCTATGATAATGTTTCTTTCAGTAGTATTATGCACAGAGATGAACTGCAAAGATGCCATTTTATTTGTCTCGAAGAAAGGGGAAATAATTAAGAAACTAATGAGCTATACATTAATTTATGTTTTTTCCCTTGTAAGAATTATTCAGGTGGTATAGGCTAGTTGAACTGCAGTCAGACTAAGGTCACGTGAATGAAGGTACTGAATTACTTAGCATGTTATCAACCTCTCCCCTGTCAAATCTGAAATATGTTGGTTTAGTTCCGTTCCTTTAATATTAGGAAAAAAAATTGCAGTCTTTATATACAGCCACATTTCAAAATACGCTTTGAGTTTGCCCAGCCCGTTATGGTGAGTGTAGTTTGTGTTGATAGTGGGTTCTTCATTTAGATAAACAAATTTGAATTAAAGTATGGTTAGAAGTCAGCAGGTCTGCGTATCAAACTTTATTTTTTGTTCAGCTGGAAATTTTTAAATTATGGTTAGTCTGTCTTGCACATTTTAATTGTCCAGTGTTGCGTTCTATTGAGTTATTGCATAGGAGGTTTTTTTCTGTATCAAGACTATTAATCTGTTAAATGCATTATTCCGCTCTGACATTAGAAAACCAAAAAAAAAAAAATCAATTATGTTGCTGCTTTATTGTATTTCAAAAGATTTTGTATAGGAGTAATGCAATAATTAGTGTACTTCATAATTTTACCAGTCGTTATTGTGTGCTTTGGACCATGAAGTATGATGATTATTTTCGTAAGCTATTTTGACAGAAACTACTTTTAAATTCTATACTTAGAATTCATTGTGGGAACTACAGGAATTACAAATGTTGGGCAGGTGTGAGATGATTAAAAAAACCCAAACCTTTTGAAATATTACAAATAAATTATCTCAATGGATTTAGAAATTCAACAAATGCAGCATAATCTAATTTCCTTTTATTCTAAATAAATAAAGGGCCAAATTCTCAGACCCCAATTTTGCAAGTGGTTGCAGCCTGATTAATAATTCAGAAGTCTTTGAAGGATCCCTCTATACTTCCTTGCATAAAACTCTTACCAAGTCAGTAGGATTTGCTAGAATACCAAATTCAAATTTGTGCACAAAGTAATGTCTTGTATCTACCATTGTGTTAAACAAGAGAATTGCTACTTTTAACTGTAATCACTATAATTCAACTATAATTCAAGTTCTCTTCATTGGACTATTAAGATATTTTTTATGTTTTAGGAAGAGAGGCACACCGTGAACAACCAGTCTATGCTGCATCTCTCTGTGGTACTCTTGGGAATATCTGTACAACACACTTAGTATCTTGGGATAGTATTTTTTTAATGGAATGCAGATGATACAACATTTTAGAGAAGTGGCTGTGAATGCACTTGAGAACCTGAACACAGAAACAATATTGAACCTTTTCTTTGGCTTATGTGCTTGGCTTTGCAGATACTGGCTTTAATCGGATTACTTGCATGCCTAAATTTAAACAGGCATTATAGTAGCATTACACATTTTGGTGACATCCTGAGATCTGTTTGATGTGTGTTAATTGTGAAGCCAGAAGCTTAATGCTAAGCAAAAGGAGAAGTGTTTTGAATCTAGTTTGGAATAGGAAAACTTGAAATGGGATATTTTTTAGTATCTTGTACGAAAAAAATGGAAGACAAAGAAAAGAGGAAAAATTCGGTAGATCTTAGTTACATGGATCATTGTGTAATCATTCAAGAGAGAAACAAAAATTTATCCTTGATGGAGGAATTTATTTAACAAAACTGTCTTTATTTACTTGAGAGTAATTTGCTTTTCATTAACTTACTAAAAATGCAAATATTATTGATTTGTTTTGCTACAATAAAATGTTACACAGTAATAACCTAAAGGAGCAGAGTCTGCTAGCTTTAGAAATGTAGAAATAAAAGATTTAGAAAAAGATTTACTTATCTTTATAGTCAAGACTCTTAAGTTGGGAGATGCAGTATTTGATAGAGTAGCAGTGCTCTGAAGTTATGCTGGAGAAGAAACTGGGCTATGAGATTACTGTACAAGGACAGTGTGTGAATGCAAAGCAGAAACATTCTCTGTACAACATGCAGAATTGTATTCTGTAAATTGCATTACTTCATAACAGAATAGGTCTGTCTGCCTTAACTTTAAAGCAGCCACATCCCTGGATCAACTGCTCCAGCCAGGAAACTTATTGTATGCTTGAGCACGGAGTGGTCAGAGAACATGAATGTTCTGTAAATCACTGGTTCTTGGCTAATGAGGCATATTGTGCTGATGTGTCTCACTTGTACTAATAGTGAGACAAAGGGCAGGGACACAGTGAATAAGCTTTGTGAGTCTAATAAAAGCAATGAAATAGATGCTTTAGGTTGTGTACTCGTTACTGGAGGAAACTGCATCAAGAAATGAACCTTGACTCTCTCACAAGGTCATACTAACCCTGAGTGCAGACCTCAAGAATTTCTGGAGCATGACTTAGGCTCTGTGCATATGATGAAGAGTCTGGGGTTTTCCACAAATAGTGTTATAATGTCAGCATCTTGGTATTATTCCTTGAAAGACACACACAGTCTGAGGAAACAGTTCCAATGTCTTCAAATGCTTGAGATCGGCAATTTTTTTAAAATGCAGGTGAATGTTGTGAAGAGAAGTGTATAGAGGTTAATTAGAGACTTTCATATATGGACAGCCACATTTGTATAGAGGATCTTGTCTTCAGGCATTTAAAGACTGAAAAGGGTGACAAATTAAATAAAAACCAGTTATGAGCTGATACATTC